TTGCCCCAGAGGGAGACCACAGCTGCGATACAAGGATATCTGCAATCGAGATCTGAAGGCCTTAGGAATTGACCCCAACAGATAGGAAACATTGACATCTGTGCATTCAGCCTGGAGGTAGGCGGTGCAGCATGGCCTCTCTGAATTTGAAGAGGCACTTGTTCAGAGGCACTTTGCCGAGGCAAAGAGGCAGTCCCGAAAGCAGCAAAATCAGGGAGCTGGACAGGGGACAAATTGTATTTGTCTTCAGTGTGGAAGGGATTGTCACTCTTGAATTGGCCTTCTCAGTCACACTAGATGCTGTTCCAAGACCTCTATTCAGAGCACGTTACCATAGTCTCTCAAGACTGAAGGATGCCTACTACAGTTGAGAATGAGAGGCACATGTGGAACTCAGTCTTTGATACTTGCCTTTTAAAATCTCTTGTATCCTTCAGTTTTAAAAAAATTCTGACTATATCCCCCATTTTACTGTTTGCTGTTTTATTTCTCTGTTTCAATATTTGCTGGATACTAAGAGCTGCCCAGTTGTTGGGTACATGAAAGGGATACCATCAATCTATTATTTAAAAAGGTTCTGTGTAATTTTTATGATGCTGAGTATAACAACGAATTCCTAGTTATCAGCAAACCCGTCCCTTTGTTTCAAAGAAATCAGGTTTATATCCTTTCAAAGAATGGGAGTAGACAAGGGACCATCTGTGTCCACCAGGTCTATGCTAGTCACCTACTGAAAATCCTTCTCCCAGTGAGCAAAGGTGCTTTTTCCCATACAGTGCAGTTGGGAGAACAATAATTTAGATGAGGAAGAGGGAAGCCACAACACAGACTAAGTGCTCCTATTCGTTCGGAATAAAAGTGGTGGTGTGAAGTATTCTGTTTCAAAAGTCAAGCTACACACACACACTGTGGTAACATCATTATTAGATTTCCATGATGTGTAGTGCTTGTGGAGGTTGGATTTTAGGGTACCTTTCAGATTTTTAACAGCACAAGTTGCCATCCGTTTATTACTTATGTGAACAATGGCTCTGAGACAAGTTTCTCTTCTGATCTTCCTTCCCCAACAGACAACTTCCAGTATATCACGTGTCTTTATTACAGTATTAGGTAATAGCCCAAAGGTTTTTGTTTGATAACTATGTGACAAGGTCCATTTAATACTTTTCACAATTCCTCTTCATTCAAATGAAAGGATAACTCAGGAGTTTCATTAAAACAACTTTTATTAACAAAACTGTTATTTTCTACTTTATTTAGTGTAACTGAATTTTTCAAAGATAACTTGGGAGGGGAACAGTACTAAAATAGAATTAACGGTTTTCCAACATTTTCTTCTTTTAATGATAAGTTTTCCCATATTTCTCCTGGTCTGTCGGCTCTCTCAGGAAACCACTGAGGACAGCACAAATGGTCCCACAGCATGGATGTTGGGACCATTCTCCCTCAGGAGGTTTCTCTTGTGGAAAGGGAATTTTCAGATGATGGACATATTCCACCTGACCCAGATTCTTGGGATACACCAGCACCGTCCATTCTTCAGGCTGCAATCCCTCTATAATTGGCTTTGTTATACCTTTCCCATATATTTTCTCCTTCTCTCTCTCTTTATTCTTTATCTGACTTTTCCTGGGTATTTTAAATACTTTTGGGTCTTCTATTCCCTTCCCTCTCCACTCTTCTTCACATACTGTTACGTTCTCCATTTCAATAGACTTATCATTCTCCTCAGTGGGAAGGAAAATATCTACCTTCTGCCTCTCAACTCCTTTTTCCTCCCTCTCCCTCTCCTCCGTTGTCAACTTCCCTAACATCTTTCCCCTCTCGTGCTTCTCTTGATCTTGCTCTTCTCTCCCTCGTGCTTCCCCCTTTCTATTTCTTTCTCCTCCTCTTTCTGTACTTCTAATTCTACATTTTCCTTTCTTGTGTATGCCTCCTCTTCTCTTCCTCTCTGTTTATCCTTCTTCCTTTGACTCTTCCCCTGTATCGTTCCTTTTTAATTCTTTTATTTCTTTCCTTTCCATTTGGTTTTCCCCAGACGGCTGAGGGGACGGCACATTCTCTGCTTCTTGTTTTGCTTTCCTTTCACAATGATTTATGAAAATGCTAAATCAGTTCATTGCAGTAGGAGCAGGGACTAATTATGCAATGGTACTGCAAATTCATGATGTCAGAGGTTTCAAATGTAAAATGGTTGGTGAGATACCATCAAATTGTGATCTTTGGCATGAGTACACCCGAAATTTCCTCAAACTCAGATCAAAATGTCTTGCTCTTTGTGAGTCCAGGGTAGCCCCTATGTAGGACATTACTTGAGAGGGAGTTAGAGTAGATTTTTCCCAGTTTATGGTGAGACCTAAACTCTGCAGTGTGTGTAAAGTGAAGTTTGTGTCCTGGGAAGCCTTTCGTTTGGATGGCGACACCACGAGCCAATCGTCGATATAAGGAAGTATTTTTATACCTTGCAGACGGAGAAAGGCCGCAACTGGAGCCATACACTTTGTAAAAGTGCGTGGAGCCGTTGCTAAACCGAAGGGTAAGGCCATATACTGGAGAGGAGTATTGCTGAGGACAAACCTGAGATATTTTCTGTGATTTTGGTGAATTGTAATATGAAAATATGCGTCCTTCAGGTCTATGACTGTAAACCAATTTCCTTTTTTCAGCAGGTGGACGATGGACTCCAGCGTGACCATCCAGAACCGTCGGGGCTTTAGGTAAGTATTTAGCTTTCTCAGGTCTAAAATGGGGCGAAGTCCTCCGTCCTTCTTTGAGACGGTGAAATATCTGGAGTAGAATCCCCTTGGCATCTCCTGATGTGGAACCTCCTGTACAGCATTCTTTTGAAGCAGAGTCCGAACCTCTTCCTCTAGGACAGGGTTGGAAGTTGTTACTGCTCCAGATCAATGATTCCTAACCTTGGGACCCAGATGTTCTTGGACCAAAATTCCCAGAAATCTTCTCCACTTGGTGAGCTGCCCAGAATTCCTGGGAGTTGTAGTTCAAGAATATCTGGGGACCCAAGGTTGGGGAGCACTGTTCTAGATGCAAAGGACACCGAGAAAGTTTATGAGGTGTGCATTGAGCTAGCATGTTTATTTTCCCGTTGCTCATGTGTAGCTCCTGCAGTTTGACAATCGCTGAACAGTTTCTATGGTACACAGACCATATGAGGAGCAGTGTAAGTATATTCGTACAGCAAATTTGTCCCTGTTGCTCTTCTACACTGATCTGGCATCTAGTTTTCCTCCTCAATATAAACAAGGAAGCAGTTCCAGCAGGCCTTGGAGTAACAATAATCCACAGGGCGTTCTCTGTGGTGTGGCTCCAAGGTAACAGTAAGCCAGGGTGCGGCTTATTGTTACCTTGGAGTAACAGTAAGCCACAATGGCAAAGAACTGAGGAGTCTTTCCATGTAATAAAAAAGAAAATAACAACTACTACCAATAGTATTATTTAATAGCAGAATAATGTGTTATGTCATAGCTGAAATACATGAATGGTTAAAGGTATACCCAAATCATCTGGAGTTAAGTACATAATTTTGAGGAAATTATGCATTGTGGTTCAAATATGAAGAGAGGAGGCACATTAAAAAAAGAGAAATGAATAGTCTATATTGGCAAGAACTAATCCTTTCCTCATTGAAATGATTTCCAGATTTGAGAAACACTCACAGCAAATATTTTTTTAAAAAAATTAAGCAACTCATTACTCAAGAAAATGTCAGAATCTAATTGAACAATCAAAAGAAGTACAAAATACTGTGTGGTACATATCATGTCTTTTTGTCTGATTTATAGGAAATAGGCTGAAGGGCTCTGTAAACAGTAAACTTGCTACTATAGAGAGCAAGGACCCACTTGGGAATAGTGATAAATCCAGGTATCAGGCGAAAAAGGAAAGACATTTTTGGCATTAGTTCCTTCAGGATATTGGAGAGTGAAGCGTAGTTGTAGACTTTTCTCCCATCCACGTCTTTGAACTTATAAAGACGGGCCAGGTCTGGACTGAGGAGCACTTTCCCAGAGTGGCGCATGACATGAGGGTCGGTGGCCAGGCCCACCACACACTTCCCACTCACTTCTGGGCTCTCTCCCATGATATCCACTTTTTCATTTAGAACCTGGGACAGTGGCGTGGACTTTTTTTCTGCGTGCTCCATTATAAGCTCAGTGCGGACCAGGCCAGGCCACAGGGCCACGCAGGCCACTCCATAGGGGCGCAGCTCCACAGCACAGTCCGCGGCCATGCGGTCACAGGCCGCTTTGCCCACACCATAAGGAACATTGAAGAGGTAGCGCATCCCACCAGTAGAGGAGATGATGACAATGAGCCCGCGCCCAGCTGGTACCATGAGGCGGGCACCATAGACTGCGCACAGGTAGTGGCCCCGAAGGCCCGTGTTGTTCATCTGGTCCCAGGTAGAGGTAGGGGTCTCCCAGAAGGGCAAGCCCACTTGGTCAGTGATGGCGGTGACTCCCGAGAAGGCGTTGTTGACCAAGACGTCCAGGCGCCCGTCCTGGTCCTTCCGGATGCGCTCGAACAGCGCCGCCACCTCCTCCTCCCGGGAAGAGTCGCAGACCACGGGCACGCACTTCCCGCCTCGGCCCCGCACCTCGGCCGCTACCCGCTCCAGCGTCTCCCGGTTGCGCCCCGTGATGTAGACGGTGGCGCCCGCCTCAGACAGCTGCAGGGCGATGCCTTTCCCGATGCCCCGCGACGCCCCGGTCACCACGCAGACGTGGCCCGACAGAGGCCCCGTGGAACCGCCCGCCATGCCTGACGCTCTCGTGGAGTAGGAGGAGGAGGAAGAGGAGAGCCGCGAAAGGCGCCCTCGAAGCAAACTGGCGGGAAAGGTGCGGAGCCCGCCGGGCCGCCTGGCTTAAATGCCCGTCCCCAGTCCCGTCGCCCCTCCTTCGAATCAGCGTTCGGGAAGGGCGGAGGGACAGGCGCTCTTTTCTGTCACTTTCTGCCCAGGCAGCGAGCCCGGCTTCTACACCCGAGTCCTCCCTCACACCGTTCCGTGAGTTTCAGATTCTAGAGCTCCTGAGCCACCAAAAGCAACGATGCAGGTAGAAATCCACCAGGTTGAGCTTTCCCAGCCAGTCTTAATTCTCCGCACTGGAAAAATTCTTCACTTTTGAACCTTTGGCGTGTGATACACCCATCTTCCATGAATGAGAATTTATCCTAGATCAACTGAATTTTAATTTCATGTATGTTATAGAAGTTCAGTGCCTTGGCGCGCGGGGGGGGGGGTTGCAAAGGGTGAATCCTGTATGTTGTTTTCCTGTACTGAAATCTACTTATAGCATTCAAGTAAGTGGTTTTGCCAGTTCCAACCCCCACCCCCATGAATTGCCATGACTGAGTGGGGATTTGAACCCAGGTCTCCCAACTCCTTGTTCCTCACTCTGTCCATTACACCACAATCTATAAATGAGAATACTGTAATTTGAGGGGGGGGAAATTCTGCAGAAATCTACAGAGGAAGTCTACACTGCTGCTTTATAGAGGGGATGGCAGCACTGTATTCCTGCAAAGTTGATAGGGACTCATATTATTACACCTGACGCTGTCTAATGTCAGGAGGTAATAATATGAGTTATTATCAACTGACATTAAGCTCTGCTATCTGGACTAAACCAAAGTGATTCACAGCATCATCCTTTGTATGTGGGAAATATTCTAGCTTCTGGGGCCGCTCTACGTGACAGAACTTGGCTGAAACAAGGGGGTTATCACACTGATGCAGGAGAGATTTCTAGCGTATATGTACAATATACTTTTCAGCAATTTGCATAGGAACTTTTTAATACTGTAATTTCCAAATCATTGTTTTGGGGGAAAGTGTTTACACACAATCTCTTTCTGTTATACTAAATTACAGAAAAGTACAGCGTCATGTCCTAAAATACTCAAAGATTGCATCCATGTTCTTTTGAAATTATCAGATGTCTTTAAATCTTAGATAAAAGCCCAAAGGTGTGTTTTTGAGAAATGATTTATGAATATGCTGAATCACTTTATTGTACTAGGCCCATGAAGTGATAAAGCAGTGGCGCCACAAAGTCATGGTGACAAAGGCTTTTAGAAGCAAAATTGGTGATGGGATACTGCTAGGCTGAGAATTTTGGTTTTGATTAAATCTGCACTCCCCCAAATTTGGACTGGGATTTTTAATACAGCCCCAAGCCACAGCAGTTTTCCTTAAATTAGGTATGTATTGTTTTCTGTTAAATCAGTTCTGACTTATGGCAATATTTTTCAACGTTTTCCATCTAGAGAATACTCAGGACTGGTTTACCATTCCCTTCTTCTGGGTGTGTGTGTGTGTGACCCATGGTAACTGTGCAGCTTGCCCAAGGCCTCATAGGCTGGGCTCTTCTCCCAGGAGGGACAGTGGGGAATTGAACTCCCAGCCCCTGGCTCCGCAGCCAGATATCTAAGCCACTAAGCTATCCTAGGTGTATATCATATTTCCTCAAGCAGCACAGATAGTTATTGGTATGAATTGATACCACATTTCAGATTTCTCTTCTTCACTATGCCTGCTGTTTCAAAGGCCTCCCAGATCAAGCTGGTCATCCCATTCCTGCTCAGCCCCTGGCTCCGCAGCCAGATATCTAAGCCACTGAGCTATCCTAGGTATATATCATATTTCCTCAAGTAGCACAGATAGTTATTGGTATGAATTGATACCATATTTCAGATTTCTCTTCTTCACTATGCCTGCTGTTTCAAAGGCCTCCCAGATCAAGCTGATTGGCCCATTCCTGCTCTATGGAATGAGCCAAGGGGGGTAATTGATAAGCACATAAGTTGTAGGGCACACCCCACAACCCTTTAACATCCTTGGAACTCAATAACTGAAACTCATCCCAGAAACCCAATTTGGCAGTAAAATAAACATAGCCCTAGATTCTGTAGCAGCCAAGCAGCTGTTACAGTTTTCAATATCTTGACAGTTTTAAGGCTCTTCAATGTCTAACCTCTAGCCTCATTTCTAGATCAAAAAGGCCATACTCCATCCTGAAAAGTTCCACTGGATAAAATCACAACCATGTACTGTCAGAGAGGTGGACTTTCTTTTCTGCCATCACTGCTAAAATTAAGCTCAGTAATGACCTCCAACTGTCACTCTCACTGTTTCATTTTCCAGCACTATCCCTTCCCTAGAACTCTACAGGTAGTATCCAGATTACTTGGGAACAATAATGTCAACCCTGTATTTCCAGAGTGATCTGACCATTGGCAGAAACACCAGCTATCCCAACCAGAAATCTTTCAGTGGCTTTCCAGGAGTCTATCCCAATAAATTTCAGGGAGCCACCACCTCTGTAAGGTGAGAGGATGATAGCTACAGTGGTGTCATGGAGCCTGGGGTCACAGGGAGAAAACTCTGGGATTGTGACATCATCCACTGCCCTTCTCCATGCTTCTTTGTTTCTTCTCAGCTTAGTAGCTAGTGGCTGGAAGATAAATGAGGTTTGGAGTACCATTTTGGAGTACCATTTTGTTCTTTTCTTTTCTGTTCTGCATGTGACGTGTGACATGTGCAGGAGTTTTAAAAAGCACTTGATTGGTTTATGTTTTATTGTGGCAAAACATCTTCTGCAAATGTTACAGTAAATGGGCATAAACTTATTGAGAGTCAAAATTTGAGATTTTTCTGATAATATTAAATGAAGTAGTTCATTTGCATCTGACATAAATAATTTCAATCCAAGTTCCATTTCCATTATCCAGGAAGCACGGAAGCTTTGGGTGGAGCAGGAATAAGTGGTTACCTGGATCTATGTATATCACAAAGATATAGATACTTTGAAAGCACGTGCATTAAAAAAGGATGAAAGCTAAGACACATGAAATGGAAATAGAATTGCCTAAAGGAGAGCATGAATAATCAAAGACCAAAGTGAACATCATCTACTACATCATCTACAGTTTCCGTGTACATATATAAAAGTTGGACAGAAGAGAACCAAAAGGGAGAAAAAAATTATTCATTTGAATTATGGTGTCACAGGAAAGCTTTGCATGTACCATGAACCATCTGAAAGGGAAATAGATGGGTGCTAGCCTGAACTCTCCCTAGATACAGAAATGATGGAACCGATGTTGTTCTTTGGGTACTTCATGAGAAGACAAGACTCCCTAGAAAAGGCACTAATGCTGGAAAAAGTTGAAGACAACAGGAAAACAGGAAGACCAAATGCAAGATGTGTTGGCTTCACAAAGGAAGCCAGAGCCTTGAGTTCAAAAAAAATGAGCAGACCTTTGACAACAGAATCTTCTGGAGGCCAGTAATTCATAGGATTGCTGTAAGTCAGGAGCAACTTGATGGCACACACCAAGAATAAAAGGCATAACAAAAGAGACCGTTAGTGACTGGGACCTGAAACAGACCTTAAGAGATAGACTGAAGAAGAAAATTCTTAACAAATGTGAAAGTGGACTTATCCATGATAGCTCACATTAAAATATAACAGTATGTGTGTAATAGCAGGGGTGTGTAGCATAATCCTGTTGCCTATGCACATTAGCTTACAGTACTTTGTTCAATTGTTCTTCAAGATTTAAAGGTGGAATTTCTTTGAAGTCTGATTTCAAAGACTCGTAAAGACTGCCTGAATTGCTTCTTTGCAACATTAATAGGCTTTTAGCTCTATTTACAGGCTGCAGGGACGTGGTGGCGCTGCGGGCTAAACCGCAGAAGCCTGTGCTGCAGGGTCAGAAGATCCAGCAGTCTGTTACATCTGTTTCTGGCGTGAGAAATGTCAAACTACAGCTAGTTCTCTATCTGTTACATCTGTTTCTGGCGTGAGAAAAGTCAAACTACAGCTAGTTCTCTTCCTTTTACTGGGTGTGTTTCTGGCACCCCACCCCACCCCATGAGTAAATAGACGTTTTTCAAACTACAGCTAGTTCTCTTCCGTTTCTGGCACCCCACCCCATGAGTAAATAGACGTTTTCTCCTAAGTAGACTCTTGACGGAACACTTCCTGACAGCTAGATACACACTTCATCTTTTTTTTCAGATTTCCCACCAGATCTCACGTAATTGTTATTTCAGTTTGAAAACTACCTCACTGTGATGTGATTTTTAGCTCATCTCAACAGTTAGTGTCTGTGCTTCCTTTTTATTGCTCTGTCCTGATTCTTATATTGTTATTTTGAAACATCTATTGCAAATAGTATTGTTGTAAAAATTGTATTACTATCAATTTAATCGATGAAAATATATGTACAAAGAACAGTGATGGCAAGCAGCAGACTCTTTTTGCATCCAGGCTTGAAATTTCTCAGTCCTGTGTGTGTTTGTGGGCTGGAAAGATTGCTCCATTACTGCATGCTAGCCTTCTTTGGCAGTGTAGACTGTGGATAATAGCAAAATTCTTATTTGCTAATGCTGTTCAGTTTAATAATAAAGTAAACACTATGTTTATTTATGAAATCTTTATTCCACTCATCAGCATTTAAATTATGGGAAGGTAACAAAACTTAAAAATTCCAGGACCAGTTGTTTTTAAAGTAGCATTAAAGGCAGAGTATTTGTAATATTCACACCTTTGGTCTCTGGCATTAGAGGGCACTAACTGCGTGGGCTAAGAGGAATTTCCACCACCCCCCAACCCACTTAATAATATGCATCTGATTTTATTAGGCTAGGATGTACTTTTAAAAATTAATGACAAAACCATTAGTTTTAAGTGTTCCATATGGCACCCTTCTAATACTTCAATGGACGTTTCCTTTTTATTACATTCTACATGTTCAGTTGTTGTTCTTCACCAGCCAACTGGCCCTGCGTGAACACACCCTTAATTGAATGGGTCTTGAACTATTAGTTTCCTAATAAGGAAAACAGTACAAAGGTCGTATGTATCT